ACCATAGTATAGAACACTCGTTCCGCGTTTTCCCCACGCCTCTGAACTTCCTTAAGTTTTATCAACCTTCGTAATTAGTGCGCTTTGTATAGAGACGAAATCAACGCTGTCCAGAATGAAGTACAAAAGCAATAAAAATATCTTACTTTCATTAAGAACACAATAATGTGAGCAGCCGTTGCAAAGATTTCTCCTATATCGTCATTTGTACATGGTCTTGATTGTGTGTATGGATTTGTTGTATAACAATCAGAATGACTTTGTTCATTTAAGTGTAAAACTGTTACCGAGTCCGTATATCGGCTAATAACCAATAATGACTTGGGTTGATATTTAAATTCAACTTGATTCGTATCGGTTAATTGGATTGTTAACTTTTCAAAACTTTCATATGTTGTTTCTGTTAAGCGGGACATTAAAACGTTCGGACAAGAGTAATGTTCCTGACACACAATATTTAAAAACATATTGTTTATTGAGTTCCCACATAAACAACAACTGAGATGATCTTCAGCAAAGTGCGTTGTTATCGGCGTTGCAGTATTACTATTTTCATAAGTAAAAATTTGTTTTCTTCTAATAACTAACGACGAAGACGACTTTTGGCAATGAATACAAACAAAAAATGAAGATACATCAGATAATAATAAAGAATACATATTTTTAAAACGAGGATGGGTTTCAATACATCGAATGGCGCTAAATAGCGTATCACATAAGCCAGTTACCATAGGAGGTGGATCATGGGTAATTGATGATGTTATTGAACAACAACGAACAATTGCGTTTACCAAATTCAAGCTTCTCGGACGACGAATACGTTCAAGGATTATTACTCGACTACATGTCAGTAAACTAAAACATAAAGCAAACCCACTGTTTTATAGCCTCCTTAATTAAAAATACGATTCATCTAGAAGTCAAAAACCTAATTAGACTCGTTACATATCTTAGGCTTTGCTCTTCTCAGAATCTTCCAGTCCTAGATTTCTTAGATTCATAGAGTTCTGTTTTAATTAGACTTTTAGAGTACTGAGATTTCATAGACTCTTAGACTTTTAGATGTCTTAGATTTTACACTTATCGCTTTCTTAGAATTTTAGACTTACCGACTTGTTAAACGTTTGAAGTTTTAAAATTTCATAGCCTTTTAGAGTTTTAGATATCTTTCACTTTTAGACTTCTTAGACTCGGTTCTTTTCTTTTATTCTTTAGACTACAGTGTCGAGATTTCCTAGACTTTTACATGTCTTTGACTTTTATACTTTTCGATTTTTGAGACTCGAGATTCAGTTTCGAGATTTCACACACTTTGAGAGTTTTGAGATTTGTTGTACTTTTAGTGTCTTGAGAATTGTTGTGCTTTAGTGTTTTGAGATTTCTTAAGCTTTTAGATTTCTTTGGCTTTTACATTTTCAGAGTTTTACATTTCTTAGACTTTTAGAGTTTTAGATATCTTTCACTTTTAGACTTCTTAGACTCGGTTCTTTTCTTTTATTCTTTAGACTACAGTGTCGAGATTTCCTAGACTTTTACATGTCTTTGACTTTTATACTTTTCGATTTTTGAGACTCGAGATTCAGTTTCGAGATTTCATACACTTTGAGAGTTGAACCGCAGTTCTTTTGGAACTTTTTTGAGCATTTTTTAACAACTTATTGGTCGAAATATTCGAACGATTTATGAGAGAATATTGCAGCATGTTTGCGGTTGCCTGATATACATCTCAGATATGTATTTTTTGTTATAGTGCGAGTTTAGGCTTTAAAGCGTTTCCACTTTTAAAGGGTTAGATCTCTTAGACTTTTAGACTGGTCGATTTTTTACACTTTTCGGCGTTTTGATATCTAAGACTTTTCCACCTTTCTTGGACTTTCAGCGGAGACTAATATTAAATGCAAAAGTAGGAATCGACTTTTTACCACATTTAGATTCTGAATTTTTCTTGAATTAGTGGTGAAAACAGGAGAATGAGGTAGGAGAGAATATTGCATCATGTGTACTGTTGCCTGATATATATCGCAGATATTCATTTGGTCTTATAGTGCGAGCTCAGCGGCTCTGCGACTTTTAGGTTTCTTAGACTTTTAGAGTTTTTTGGCCTAAGTTTCTGAGACGAAAAGAGATACTCACTGTAATAGTTTTTCACCTTCACCACATAATTTTGATAGCGAACTAATTGACCATTTTTTTTTAATTTTGCATACACGAACACATTTTTCTTCTGATCCAGTTTTGATCAATGATAAAAAGGTTGTAAGATCAAATGTTGCCGAGGAAAAAATGCTAACGTTAAGAATATCATTAAATCCATTTAATGATATAACAGGTGGCGGTTTTCGATGACATGGCGTGGTTGATGTGACATTTCGATTTTCATTTACGCTTAACACAATAATTTCAGGCCAGTGTAATACATCGATCTTGCGCACCATTTGTTGTTGACAATTATCACAGGACAGATCAGATGTTGATTCACTGAAGAAATTTGCTAATTCCTGGGCAATTGATAATGACCCATTCTTTATGTTGATAGGGATATAATCCATATTAAATAACGTTCTTAATTTAACCCCACAATCATAACATTCATAAGATTTTATAGCTCTAATTTGTTGGTCAATTAATGGTAATACAATTTCACTCAATAAAAATTTGACATTCATTTGACACTAGAGACATACAAGAATAACATGAACAATGTTTGAGGATGGACCAAAATTCAGCTAGTAACCATCGGCTCAGTTCGTCAAGAAAAAAGAACATGCAATAAATAAATAACTTACTTGATTATCTGCCCATAAAGCGGATGGTATGTTAAATTTTAGTTGTTGTTGTGATTTTCCGTTCAATTGATGATGCTGCACAAAGGACGAAATTTCATTTAGTAGCGATAATTGATGGGTTTCGTGAATAATAAGGCTATTTCGATAGTTGGTTATAGACAAGAAGAACGTCAAAATGCTAGAAAACCAATCGGGTAATATAGTTGTAGGTATTTTTGGTAAAACTAACTCTGAATTCACGACAGGTGGATTCAGTAATGTTGTTGTTATTTTTGTCATCACGTAGTTATTAGGTGCCTTTTGATAATGACCACGACTTGTGTTCATTTTCTTATTTTTATTCCACCTTTCTTCAATAATATTTAGTTGTTGTTGTGAGGGTGGTTCAGATGTTCCATCGTTCATGATTACATAATTAGCTAATCCAATCGAAAATTCCTGAATCATTTGGATCATGTGTTCCACTAGAATCGATAACGTTATATCTATTCGTTCGTGAACTTCACCACCTAAATAAAAGAAATGAAAATCAACACTTATTTTGCATGATAATGTGGCAATAAAAACAGCAAATTTTTTGCGAATTGCTACCTAGCTACCGACAAGGTAGCTACCTAGCTGTATATCCGACAAGCGCTGATAATAGATATACAGCAGGTATTTTCAGTCTAAAATATGATCTCATAATAACTCATGTACCTAATTGAGTTCGTTTTAAAATTCCCATTCTTCTTTCCGAATTGGCAGTTGTTCTTTGATGCTCTTTTTTAGATAAGTATTCTTCTTTTTTCAATAAATAACCATCAAACTTTTTAATATTTCGACGATGACGTTGTAAATTACCTTAGATAGATACAATAGAACATAGTAAAAAATTGTATACTAATAAGAGAGAACAAGGCATACCCAATAGCAGATTTGACCAGACAGCAACGCTCGGAATATAGTTTTTATTAATGTATTTCAACCATTCGTGGTTTCCTTTGATTGTTGTAGTTATTCTTTTGCCCTTATTATCCGGTTCACGATTTTCCAGGAAACATGTTAAAAATATACCACTTAAATCGGTTTTGAATTGAGAATCTAATGTATTAGCTTCTTCTTCTTCATTAATTACCTGAAGAAAACGATATCTGAACAGCATAGATCCAAATGTTTTAACTTTAGCGTTCGCACTACTTTTAATACTTAAGCAGGAGGAAGGGATAGGGGGTTCCTCTCATTTAGATTTCGTTCAAACTTTACCAGTTTGTAGACCACATGTCGAAACATTTATCCTGAAGTTTTCTCGGCTTGCAGTCGTTATTTGATTGAAAAAAAAATTAATTAATTCTAAAATTCAGATCAAGTTTTGAACATCAGACTTTTTTAAAATCTTTCCTATTCGATGGTCTTTCATCATGAAAATCCAATTCAGGCGCAGAACGAAAGAAAAATGTTTAGAGAACATAACTAGAACAAAAAAAGAAAAAATTTATGTTCTTTCCTTCCTTTTATTGGTTAATTAATACTAATTATCATTAATTAGTGCTACTCTACTCTAATAAAGTCGGGTTTATATAATAACCGTTTTCTCTGAAAATAATCCAGATCGATAGATGATTAAATTGTAAACAGGGTTAAACGTTTTTCACGATTCTAATCCAGGTTTTTAGAGAATTTTTGGAGTTTATAAAATGTAATGACGAGTCTTTAACTTTGTAGCCGATATTTAGGCTCCAAAACGTCGCAGAGGCGTCATAGTTGTGTCATTTTGTTCATAATTTAATCCTGTATCGATCTGGATCATTTTCAGAGACAACGGTTTTCAAAAGTTTTTCTGGAAAACTGGTTTTCTAGAAAACTCACTGCAAGATCTTTGGAAAACCTGAAAGCAGTTTCATTGGATTTTACATAATTTTTTATCTATAAAATCAACATTTCAGGATATTACCAAAATACGCTAACACCCACTAACATCCGCCAACACCCCCAAATTATAGCCGGTCGATAGACCTGTTCTTTGTGAATAAAGTAACATTAAACGAACATCGAAAAAAATTATTTCAAAGAGGATTCTTTAGAGCTTTTTCGTTAGGAACACCCACTAACACCAAAAAAAACTGACGAGAATACCCAAAATAATATGCCAGAATAATTGCCATCCTTTTTTGAGCCTATTAGATCACCTTTAAAACCATAGGAAATCTGCCGAGAGCTGAGGTGGTCGAACCACTAAACTTTTGGATGTGATCCTTCTGTATAATCAAAAATAATAATGTTTAATAACCACATATCATTTGTTTCACCCTTATAAAAGTCTGATGGCTTTGATTGAACCTTTTCTAATGCAGTTGAAAAATCTGAATTACGAATCCGAAGTTGTTCTGCTGAATCTTCACCGATATCTAATGTACCATGTTCAATAACATATATTCGAAGAGAGTCATTCACAGCCAACCGAACAAGCTTTTCAATATGTGATATGGTCAACTATTAACTAAATTAGATGGATTTGCTCAATTCAGTAATGTATTGGTAATAGGTACAACTAATCTTCCAGAAACTATTGATACAGCCCTCACTCGACTTGAAGTACTTATCAAAGTTGACTTACCAACAAATGATATGTAGTTATTAAACATATACATTATTGTTATTTTTTAATTCATTAAAATCGTATTTTATGTTTATTCCAACGGAAAACAGCTTTCTCTCTATCTAGTAGATTTTTTCATTCAGAAAAAAGCTTTGTGTAATAAATTTAGATGCTTTAGAAGCTTTCAGATTGGGATACCCTAAAGAAAAAAGGTCGCTGCTGACAAAAAAAATTGAAGAACAATGGTTTATATATTTCGACGCTGAAGTTTTGTAGAGAATTTCACGATCGTTCTTCTGCTGTACTTTATGAATCACTTTTATTGAGAAAGAATTATTTTTGATTATACCCAAAAAATTAAAAATAGTCTGTGTTGTAGCCCGTAAAATTCTCTACCGGACGAGGTATAACTCGTTTTTGTACGTAGATCTCTAAAGCTGTTTGTACAACAGAAGAAGTGCATCGTTATAGTAAAATAACTGCTTGTGAAGCTGCTGTGACTTACAGACTTCTTATCGTTACCACGTTTTCGTAATTCTTGTGGATGTATGACTGCATTTGCATAATTATTATCCTGAGAAACACCATCATCGATAATATAGTCCTCCGAAGTATCCTCATCGTTAAATTCGTATTGATCTATCTCATTTGTTCCTTTTAATGCTGTTGTTAATTTTGATGTTTTTCTTGTTCTTTGATTATTTATCGCTGATAATAAATTTGGATCACTTTCTAAATTTCTAATCTTTTCTAGCAAATAATTGTATTTAATATCGTCATGTTTGTTTGTATAAAAATTCATAAATACGGTACAAACTAATGCCCAATTTTGTTTCATTTCATTCCAATTATTAGTGTTAATTAACAATGCCATCGACCACATGCCAAGTTCTCTTAGATCGACGTCCAGAAATTTATTCACGAGTTGTCGTTGATGGAGCATTATGTGTGCTAAGCAAGCATGTATGTTCGTTTGTTGAAGATCAACTGGTTTTGCTTGACCGTTAACAATTCTATATGCACGATCTAGGAATTCTTTATAATTTTCGCGGTTGAATACTTCTAGTGCACCTTGGAGAAACACTTGGGCACGATCTGATAATATGATGGCGGGTTTCGGAAATGGCTTTTGACCAAATATCTGGCATGAAAGGAAAAAAATAACGAAACTTTTAAGTAAATGAGACTTTTAGTCAAGTAAAGATTTCTAGGGAAGCCTCTGATGATTCAACTGGTCGTTTGTCATCCCGAGACTAGAAGATACGTAATATTAGCGATCTCAGCATTTTTGTAACAGTACTACTATCCATTTCAATGAACAATGCAGTCGGTTGTAAGTTGAATAACTCCGGATAGGAAGCAGCTAGAGACCTGCTGTTTTCAACATTCGAAAGAAAATAATATTCTTTATTAAGAAATGGTGAAAGTTGATTGATCAACAATTGATCAATCAGGTGAGTTTTCGCTTGACATATTGGGCACTGCTTGGCGAAAAGATTCCCCTTGGATTTGAAATTCTAATACAACCATTCTATAGAGAAAATTGTTCTCTATTGATATACACAAGGCCGAGCTCTTTAGCTTGTGCTGTTCAGGAACTATAAGTAATTTCCTGAGAGTATTTTTGACAAGCTTACGTATCTTTGAACAAGTACGCATGATGAAATATTATTTGAACCATTCAGCAAAGCACCTGTCTATAACAAATCAGGAAGTCTGACTGATAGAAGGGGCAACTGGCTACTGCAGTAATGAAAAATTAAATTAAAAAACGTTACTCTTTTAAAATCTTGTTTAAACCAATTTAACCAATTAATTATTGTTGCTAAAGTATGAGTTTCTGATAACATAAACGTAATTGGAATTAAACTGCTTTCATCGACTATGTCGGGTTTTGTCATGTTAATTCATAATAGAGAAGTTTACGTCCATTATTTCTTTTGATGATTCCACCCGTTGCATCCCATGAAATGACTGAATTTGATGAAGAACATAAATCATTGAATAATCGTATCGATGCTTCCGTGTACACAATTACATGTGCAGGCGTTTTACTATAAACTTGTACAGCACCTGGTACTTTTCCATCATTGTTAATTTCATTTTTCAAATTTTCCGTTAATTTTGCTAATGCTTCATCTTCATTCGGATCTAATAATGTATCATTAATGGCTTCGGCTTTTATCTTTTTAAATGTTTTTTGTGTCGAACCGGTTACATCGTAATTAAATGCAGATTTTTCCAATGCTGTTCTTTTTCGAGCATATTCGTTATGTAGTTTTTTAACTGTCGCCCCAGCTTTAAATTTATCTTTTAATAAACTGCGAATTGGTGCACGAATTGGACGACAAATACGTTGTTTAATACGATGTTTTATTTCGTTGTTTGTCACAATTATATAACAATGTCTATCATTTTGTACACTAACGTAACAGCTAAATTTACAGGAAGGACGACCCTTACATACAAGCCAACATTTTAATAATAAACCATTTGGTGCTGTTATACGTCTTCCAAAATATTTTTGATAAATACATAAACCACAACTTGGATTAAACTTTTTTAAATACGGCAACAAAATATAAAAATATTGAATATCAACACGATAATTATCACTTTGTTTTGTTAAATTCTTGTTATTTTCATCAAAATGATGTAGTTCACTTTTTGTTTTAAAGATTTTATTGGGTTTTTTGCTGGATGTATCATCCAGTGCAAGACCCATGTTTTCAAACATTTTTCGTTTTTGTTGTTAGATATTCTTTACGAATACTATTTAATTTTAATAAATCACTTTCAGTCAAATTGAATTGATAAGATGACGGTAACGTTTTAGTGAAGATTTTCTTTATTGATGTATTAGCAGCCACTGAAGCCGTAACTAAACAGAAAAATAAGGAGTATTATCATATAATACAACAACGGATCAGTAAAACAAGTTATCTATCAGCAGCTGTGAGCGATTGGACTGAACAGTGACGTCAGCTATGTAACAAAGCTATTGTCCTATAGTTTCCTCGCAGGCTTGCCTGTTTCTGGGGAGACAGCACCTCCTGTACTTTTACTATGTTAAGAAAGTATTACTACAACGACCTACAACTGTTTCACTTACTAAATGATTCATTCAATCGTCGTACATGTTTTGTATGCCTTTGATTGTTATCACATGATTGTTCGTCATCATTGAGCTCTATAAGACTGAATTCTTGATCTAAAGTGAGAAAAAATGTGAGGAAACATTTAGAAAACGGTAGGTATAAGAAAGATGAGCAATGTTCTTACCACATGATACCTCATCATTATTATATATGCTGATATCTCTTTTATCGCTTAGAGAGACAGGGAGAATTTCATCCACAGTATCATCCGAAAAATCGCCAAATCTTATTGAACTTTCGGTTACACGTGGAACAATAGGAGCTATGAATGGTTCTAAACGTAAAGTTTCACTCGATTAATTTTTTTTTAAACTTGTCCATAAGAAGAAACTTACGAAGTAATGATAAACGACCGAGTTTTTTTTTAGATCTCAAGATTGATTTTTGTAGATGAGAACTTGGAGGCATTTGATTTCTGCAAAAGAAAGTCCAAGGTAAACAGTTTTTGATCATAGAAACAGAAAGTTATTACTTTTACCTAATACGAGAAACAGGAAGTTCCATTGCCATCGTGTGATCTTGGCATGCACGTGTTTCATTATGATTATTTTTCGATGTTTTGATCAGTGATTCTTAAGAACGAAAAGTTTTTCAGCGTCGAAGATAAGAGTAGACAACTTTAAGCTTGTGTAAGAGCAGAGATGTCAGAAAGCAAATACAAAGCGTATTGGGATCCACGGGTCGAAATACTATCCTAATACCTATTACATAAAAAAAATTAAGTAAAATTAAGTAAAATTTTGGACTATGCTTGATCCAGAGTCTCTGTTCTTCTTCGATTTCGCACCGAACTATGCATCGGAAGAGGACAAGTGTATGTGTGTGTGAAGGAGGGAGGACTGATAACGTGAAAGTGAGTTACGAGAGAATATTGCACCAGTATTTGGTGTTGGCTGATGTACATGTCAGTTATCCAGTTAATCTTAGAATGCCGTTGCGTATAATTTGCGAACTGAGATAGAAAGGGGCTTTAGGTTTTCTCTAGGACAAAGAAGTGACGTGGATGCAAGTTTTGTAGGGCCCATCACTTCGAAACTGGTGTTTGAGTTTTCTAAAAGGTGGTTGGAAAATCAGATCACACCTCAGGGAATGAGGTGGAAGTTGTTTGATCTTGTCTTGTGTTATAAGAGCCAAAAAGTTCTCCTGGCAATGCGAGTCAAGACGGAAATTTGACTTTCTACGCAGTTTTGATCTGATATTAAAAAGTTTAGAGACCATAGAAAATACGTTATTGTGAGGACATAGGTAATAAGAGAACGTCCAGACTCACACCGTTTTCTTCGTCGAGTATGACTATACGTATAAAACGACCGCAAAGCTATACTGTAAATCACAAGGTTTTCATAAAAATGCTTTCTTGCTCTTGGTGCTCTCCAGTGACCGGTAACTGGCACTATAAGACCAAATGAATAGCTAACATGTAAATATTCTCAAAATTCTCGAAACTCCAATGCGTTACATAATTCTCATCATTCATACAAACTAGGATAACTTCACCCAGCGTATTATGTATTGTGTATTAAGCATGCAATGTTATGTATTATGTATCCGGATAGTGGTTCATCTCGTGGATTACATTACAGGCTGTAATTCTCATAATTATCGACATGACAAAAGAGCGAGAAAATGGCGATACAAGTTGCATGCGCATTATGACAGCACTCTGTAAGAGACAACTAAAGAGTATACTGACTTTTGGGCAGTATAGCACGTTGCGTTTTTGTATTTTGGATAATCTTATTTGTATTCAATAAACTTGGAGTCATGCTCGAAATAACTGGACATATAGGACCTAAAAACACCTTTTCACAATAGAAAATTACAAAAAACTAAATAGTCCATAGTTTTTACCGATCGAAAATATAGGCTGTGTTGATAACTGACGATTATGGATTAATGGATTCAAATGAAGTTCTATCAGCGCTTTATGAGATGGTAATGTGTTTGCAGTTGGTGTCTAAGACAAAAAATATTAGTAAATAATGAGTGGCTGTCGTTTACTCATAAAAGTAGCTTAGCTAAGGAAAAGTCTACTAACTTGAAGAGGATTCATTGCAGTTGCAAAACTATGATTTTCTTCATTGTTTCCTGCTAAATGAATAAACAGCGTTGGGCGTGTCTATCAAAAGTTATTTTAAAGTAGATATACTAGCTGCTTCTGGTGAAGGTGTCGATGTGTATCGTTTGTAGTAAAGCATATAAGCGCCAGCTAAACTACAAAGAGAAATGATATTTTTCATTAATCAGTTATTTGGCAGGTGTTTATCTGTCTTACCTTTCTCCACCTCCAAAGCATTCCTTCGCCATAATGTCATCCTTGTTGAAGTCCGAATATGGTCTTACCGTTTCGTCATTAAACAAATACCATGTCTTGTCTTTCCTAAAGTAGAAACAAGTACCATTTAGTATAAATTTGCTGAAAAATAAAGATTCTGCTCTTACTCATTGAATATAAACGAATAATTATGTCCCAGATTAAGAGCAGGACCTTGGTGAACAACAATGCCAGTTAGTTTATATAAAGTATGAGTTTCTAGAAAGAAAAAACACCACTAGTTTGTAATCCAGCTGTTCAACTCCGTTCAGCACTCTAGTGCTTTTTTGTTACGTAAGTTACCAGTACACGTTCTGGACAAAAATTCTTTCATATCCAATGTTCGTGGAAATCCAAAATAATCGGTTATCTTTCCAGAAGAAAGATCATTTCTTGAAAATGCAAAACGTTTTAGATGGAACACAAAATATTTCGGAAACCGTTGAAGAAACAATTGTTTTGTGGCATCAGTCTAAGTATATATACGAAAAGCGTAACTGAAACATTGCTCAGAACAATCTACGGTTTTTCTATTAAGGAGATTTGCTCACCTTCAATTTACATTCAGTACAATAATACTGGTTGTCACCTATCAATCTTTCTACGCCAAAATAATCTTGGAGAGCACCCAATAAATTATTCAAATAACTGTTCTTATAAATACATACCAGCTGAATTTCAGTAAACAAAGACTGTGTGTAAAACCTAAAAACAAACGTTTAAACTATCAAGTCAGCAATCAACTGTATTCTCAAATAATGAAGCAAAATAAAGCAGAGCTGCCAAAATATCATTATACAGTATAAGAATGAGTAGGACTAAAGTATTACGATTTTGACATTCTACGCTACCGAGAATTTCAAAAAATTCTCGCATACACTAGCAATACAAAATGGAGACTTCCAAAACTTCACAATTTCAACAGCTAAAGAATTTCTAAAATTTCAGAATCTCAGTAATTTCAGAATTCAATAATCCCGCAAAAAGCCAGAATTTCAGCAACTCAGAAATCAGCGATATCCCCTTTCTAGCACTTCCCAAACATTTCGAATTTCAGAATCTCATCAAACTCCAGTATTTCCTAACAACAATATCCTCTGAACTTCAAACGACGTAGAATTTCACAATCTCAGCACTTCATCGCATCAACCCAAATTTTGGAACATAACAACATTTTTACAACAGAGCTTTAACACAACCGACATACACAGATTCACAACACGATGAAATTCACGCAATAGCGACTTTCTAAAGTTCTAAGAATCTGAACTCTAAATAACTCAGCACTTCACGCAGTACTCATATCTAAAACCACTAAAATTATTAAATACCAACCATCTTGAAATTCAAAGATTACTGAAATTATAAACTCGAACATTCAAAATACGTTGAATTTCGAAGAACAGTGACAATCTAAACTGGTAACATTCTGACAGTCTTTATACTGTCGAATTGAAAGAATACTGCCATTGTAAACTCCCCACTTTCTCAGATTCAAAATATGTTCGATTTTTGAGAACATTGGTATTCTAAATATGTTGAATTTCTGAGAAGTGACATTCTAAACTTGTTAGATTCTGAAAGTCTTTATACTGTCGAATTGAAAGAATCGTGACATTGTAAACGCGCAACTTTCTCAGATTCTAAATATGTTCGATTTTTGAGAACATTGGTATTCTAAATATGTTGAATTTCCGAGAAGTGACATTCTAAACTTGTTAGATTCTGAAAGTCTTTATACTGTCGAATTGAAAGAATCGTGACATTGTAAACGCGCAACTTTCTCAGATTCTAAATATGTTCGATTTTTGAGAACATTGGTATTCTAAATATGTTGAATTTCTGAGAAGTGACATTCTAAACTTGTTAGATTCTGAAAGTCTTTGTACTGTAATTGAAAGAATAGTGACATTGTAAATGCGCAACTTTCTCAGATTCTAAATATGTTGCATATCTGAGAACAGTGAGATTCTAAATTCCTAAATATGTTGAATTTCTGAGAAGTGACATTCTAAACTTGTTAGATTCTGAAAGTCTTTATACTGTCGAATTGAAAGAATCGTGACATTGTAAACGCGCAACTTTCTCAGATTCTAAATATGTTGGATTTCTGAGAACATTGGTATTCTAAATTTCTAAACAGTTTGGAATTCAAAGAGTAGTGAGATTGTAAAGTTGGAAAATTCTGAAAGTATTACGAGTTTTTACTTCACAGAAGTGATTTGAAACTTGTAAGATTCTTAAATTGTGGATATTTTGGAATTCAAAGAGTAGCGACATTCTAAAGTTCGGCGACTGTGAAATTCTATAATTTTGGGAAATGAACGCATTGTCCGAGTCTGGTTATGTTGGATTTCTGAGAAGTGACATTCTAAACTTCTAAGATCCTAAAAGTCTTCATATTTTGGTATTCAAAGGATAGTGGCATTGTAAATGTGTGCGATTGTCGAGTTTCATACGGGTTAAAATTCAAGGCATAGTGAATGAAATTCTGTACCACTACGATTCTGCGATTCTAATAGTTTGAAAATGAAAGATTAGTGAAAGTGTAAACTTCTAAAATTCTGTATATTTTCGAACTCAAAGAATAGTGACATTGCAAACTTTCACGATTTTGGGTTTCTAAATATTTTGGATTTGTCAGAATATGGACATTCTAAGGTTCTGCGGTTCTGAAATTCTAAAGACAAGCGACTTTACGGAATCGTGACATTTTGATGGAGAGAATTCTGAGAATACTGATATTCTGAAATTCTAAGCATTCTAGATTTCAAAGAATTGTGACACGATGCGATCTGTATAGAATGCGAAACTTTGGGTGGAAGCGCATCATTATACTGGATGATGATAATTTAAGTGCCGTTAAATAAAACGGTAGCATGACCTACATATGTGAAGAATTTGTTAAACATGATGTTTTCTGAAGAAGTGAACCACCAAAGATGGCTTCGAAAGGTTTAATGTTCCAAATCTGTTCAAATGCTTTATCCATATCCTCTGTAATAGTTACAAAAAATTCTTCGCAATCTTGATGATGGCCAACACGTTCTTGATAGCTCTTTTGCTCTTTTTCTTTCTGTTGTTGCTGCTGATTTTTGTTTTGATAAGTATTTTCTTCTTGATTCGTAACATCTAGTAATGCAGGGCGAAGTTCTCGTTGATGTTTCAACCTGAATAGCAGTTGAAAAGAAAACGTCGATCAAGAGTAAAATTCTTCGCAAAAGCTTAACATGGCTAACCGAAATATGTTCCAAAAAGCTTTTGGTTGAAATGAAACAGTATCTTTTTGTTGTAAAACATTGAATAAATCTTTGACACATTTTAAACGTTACCTTATACAATGGATCACTTTTAATTTCTGTCCTAGACAGATAATTTTCAATTGGTACGCGTAAAATACACATACGTACTGCTTCGTTCATGAATAACTAAATAGAGAACAAAAACAATAAATTATGATAGCACAAAGGGGTATGTACCTGTTGGAAAATACAATTCATATAACAAGTTGCACCACCGTTTACCAAACCAACAAGTTGGTTATCTCTCAATGGCCCATAAGTCGAGGTGTCCATCACAAATTCTAAAATAAGCGAAGGTAAGGTTGAGAAAAACTAAATGATAATTGTACGCACCAGTACTGTTTGATGTATTTGAACTTAAAATCCAGTCAAATAATGATAACTTGTTTCTTTCTTTTTGTTTACCATAACTAACCATTGCATTGTACAGATCCTTTACACAAACACTATTTTGCACCAACAAATTGTATGTACGCATAAATTTCGCACGAAAAGCTATATCTCCCATCGTTATGTACACTACAGGACGTTGGCAATGTGAAGCAGCAGCTAACTGAATAAGTGCTGAAAAAACATAGAAAACCTTATTGATAAACAAGAAAAGAAAAAAAGCTCGCATATCAAACGGCTTTCACTTATTTTCTACCTTTTAATTCTTTATTTCCATTAAACACTCCACAACCCCAATGTCCAGTAGCCACGCGTTTTGGAGGTGCGCTCGTTTTTCCTGATGAAACAAATGCAACGTATGATTTCATAAGTTCCCGTTCAATATTAACGAGATTGTATTGTAAATCGCTTTGTTGAAAAGGAAGTGCATCCATTGCAACTACTTCACATACTCGTCGTTCCATAACATCTCTAGAAAAGAAAAAAACGACATATGAAGAGAAAAAGTATACAAAAAAGGACAAGCAGATAATGGAGAAGAAAGAGAGGATGGTCAGTCTAGAAGAATAAGACATAAGAAACTATTTCCATCACTCTTCACGACACATTTAAGTGGAAAAAAACGAAATATTGCCTTGGTGTGTGATCAACGTAGTCTCCAGCAAAACGAAATGTATCGCCATAACCATCGTATGAAGAATACTTTTCACAACCTGAAAGGAAAAAGAAGATTTCTTTACAATTTACAAAACGACTATAAGCACTTACAAAAAATGAAAAGGTTAGATGATAACAGAAACACAAATTACCCGTTAAAAATATGCATTCGTTGTCATTCATTGATTCACAAAGCAATAATGTAATTAACATTTCCGGACAGGTGGCAAAACGTATTTCTTCTTGAACGGCACCACTTTGCAGTATTCCCCCACCGATATATTTATTGGCAAAATCAACCTAAAAAGGAAATAAGAACATAATGGCTTCAGTATAATATTGCCTATAAAAAAGCAAAATTGCAACAAGAGAACGAGACGTTTTTAAGTTGAAAACTTACCTGCAAGCAGTTCACCATGTCTTCAATTTTTCCATGTTCAGGTAGTTGTAAATCAGATAAACGTTCTGTTGACTGCTTCCAAATATTTGTATTTGATGAAGATAAACAAAACCGGTGAAACGTTAAAACACCAGTTGGTACTAAGTGAAAAGAAAGGAGTTCTTCTAGAATGGGAAAATAAAGAGAAAACGCTCTTACTATTTTCACTTATTCGTCGAAAATAGTTTAACAGACATTTCAGTTTTTCAATCTTTCTTCTTGTATTAACTGTAGTGTCTTCTTGAAACAATCTAAAAAAAAACGACACGTCTTTTTGTAGCTTGTACAACTAATAAATAACGCCAAATACAGAATGAAAACGTGATACTTACATATCAAAATTGACATATTGAAAAGTCCGGTTTGTTCGTCGATTTGGATAAACGCAGAAAAATGCACATGCTAACAACGATGCGCATTGTTCTTGTGACATTGTAATTGCACGATTTGTGTTTGTTTTCAATAATATCGGCGGCTACAGAAGTCAAAAATAGATAATCACTAAGATTTTCAGTTTGTACATCTGAATTTCAGGTCAAGTCTTTGTCATGCGTATGCCTCCTTTCCGAATGTTACTCTTCCTGCCATTGCTTTAAAGTTATAAAGAATTTCGACTCTGAACGTACTTGGCCACATATAATCTTTACATTTAATACTAAGTCAATGATAGCTGGCAAAACAAATTTGAAAAATTGATCACGTTCGAGATTTATATATTCCTTTAATAATAGACAAAGTGGCAGTCAAACAATTAAAAATACAGTAAGTGATAATAATTACCTTATTAATTAACCGTTCCAAACACCCAATTTTCACATTTCGCTCTGTATAACTTGCTATGCTAGACTGAAATGAAGCAAAAGCACATTTTTGTTGAAGAAGCTCAATAGTTCGATTTGGATTATATATCTACTTTAAGATGATCGAGTGTGACTGCTCCCAGGTAACAAATCGCTTTTAAACTGTTCAATGCTGTACATATCTTCGACCATCGTTGTGAACCATCGCTCTATAATAAGCCAGAGTAAACGTAAAGGTAAAATGCATAAAGGATTGCACGGATCATGCATACAGATTGATTATTTGGAGAACAAGGCATTTGCACATGATCATCATCCCAAATGTAGACATTTTGCTCATTAGTTCGTGCAGACTAAAACGTGAAGATATAATGAATAAATTATTGCAAAAGCGGCTGTAAGCTACGGGGGATAGATTGTACCCGCTGTTTTTGATTTCAAAGACTCTTCAAACTAATTGCGAAATCTAACATTCAGCTGACAAACTCAATAATTATCACACCAAAGAAAACAATTGTAAATATTCTTACTGATGTTAGATTTTGATGAAACCAATCGTCGAGTTTCTGAGTGTTTATCATCGCAGATGATCACGTTTGTAGTTTTCATAAACTTAATTGTGACATGTGACACTAACTGAAATTGTATCGGAACATTTAGATTTTTATTGACAGTTATGATTTACAGTAAACATCTTTCTACGACCCAGAAAACTTGGAAAAATAGTGGAAGAATTCCTGTCTTTACTAGTGCTTCGCTAAACACAACGCAGAAAAATGAATGGAAACTCGGTGGGAAATAGTCCTCAAATGAGAGATTCTACATCAATCTGAAAAAAACTATCAAACCTGGGACGTACTGAACCAATACATAGATTCATGATAGATAATCCTTATAAAGAGGTAAAAGCATGCGCGAAGTCTCAAACAATCATTCAGAAAATGCAAAGAAAGCGCCCAAACCACAAGCGATCCCAAGTCACACACTAATCTTGTGATTCAGTTTCAGTGAATGGATTATAACAGCGCTCAAACGATTCGCTTTTCGGCGTGAACCGTTGACAACGACTAAAAAAGTTTAAACAAAATCTCTTTCTACTAAAGTATGCGAACTTTCAGTACTATGCAGCTCTAAACTTAAGCAAAGTCGGTTATTTTCAAACTTTACTTAATTATCCCTCTTATTCTTTGGAATTTTTTATTTAAAACTTCCTATTATTTGCTCTTTTCATCAAAGGCATTAAAAACAATTGTGTGCTTCTTTGATCAAAAAAAGGAAAATTTTTAATCTCTTCTGATTTGTCAATCCGCCATTTTGTTTAGAAGGTTAATCTACTGAAAAATTCCTCAGTACACTTCCTCAGTAGCTTATCTTGACCGTTTTTTAGCTGCATTCATTTTGTAAGACCCTAGATAAAAAAAAGTGAAGGGAATTACATTCTGCATTTCTTGCGCGAATTTCACTATTTATCTCCAGAAGCATCTTTATCTCATTTCTACCATTGATCTTAACTGTCATCGACATGTCGCAAAAAGTCAAAAATATCATTATTTCTATTGTGCCCTTGTACGTGTCAAAAGAATGCCCAGCGTTCGATCACATAATCAAAGCAATCGAAGAGATACCGGATGAAGAATTTACTCAGGTGGTACCTCAATCCTCATCAACGATGAATCAGCGTATTCAATATTTACTCGACGAAATCTTTTTTTTTTATTAATCAACATTATCCAATCACTCATGATCAAGGTGTGAAGCTCGACAGTTTCATTAAAGAGATTAAAAATATTTTCATTACCTTATTTCAAGACGATGAAACGATGAAAAGCCAAATTGTGCATTTACAATCGTCTACCGAAATGTTCCAACATCAAATCCAATCGTTACAAGATGAACAAAATGAGAAGAAGAAACTTCGTACTGTAGCCGAAGTTTTAACACCGGTGGTGAAGGAAATACGTAGTTCGATGCTGAGTGGACAAATTTCTGATTCTTATTACTCAAAGTCAATGATTCGAGCATGTCTATTACGTGCTCAAAATCAAACAATATCCTGGGAAGTTGTTTATTACAACCGTGATAATCCCCAAACATCATTCAATATTGATGTCTTCAATCAATTTGAATCGATTCTTCGATGTCAAACGGATGCTTTAAGGATTAATTATCAAACATTACTTGAACTGTTATTGATTAAAATTGATCGAAATGAAGTCAAACACGACTCAATCAAGAACTTCCTACGATATTAGTCTCATAGTGATTCATCATTTAATGAGTATTTGGCGTCGATGTCTATGACGAACATTTTTAACATGAATCAAAAGTTGTGTCTTGAAACCTTGTATCGATGTTATTTTGTCGTATGAACAATGTTTCTTTTTATCGAAAACTATGACTTATTGTGTATGTAAGCTTTTTCTTTCATTTACCATTTTTTGTTGGAGTGAGTTCATGTGAAGTCAATTTAAAATATCTTCAAAAACATCGATCATCTTGGTTAATTATCAATCAAATCGATCTCATTCAACAAAAGCTCCTCGACATTGGCAAGTTCCACTATGTTCATATCTCCCGTATGCGTAGTATAGGTTATTGTTACATATTTTTTATTTTATCAGCATGGCTAACAGTATTATCAGAATTAATTGCTGGAAAAATGTGTTTTCCTAGATTTACCTAACTGGACATCGTAATATTTCTTAGTCTACTATTTTCGTTATTTTCTGTTTTTCTTGCAGTATTTTTTAGATTTGTATTGTTATTTATTTATACGATAATCGCTGGGAAGTTGAAAGGGAGCACCTAAAAATCAAGTTGTTAGAATAAAACAACACACATTTTCTGAAATCAATATAGAATTCTATTTTCAAATATAATCTGTATTTGATTGCACCTATCACCTTTTATTATCTTTGACTTCTTTAAAATACAGAAACTATATGTATAACAGTTGTTATAGTTGCACTGACCTTTCTTTCGAAAACTGAAAAATTACGTCAAAATCGTCTGGAGAAATTGTTGTACTCAAGGAAATATCTAACAAAATTTGAACACTTACCTCCAATGAGTTCTGAATCGAATCCCATTGGATATATTATTTCTGTACGGATATCAGCTCTCAAATTTATTTATCTTGTTATTATTCTACGCATCGACTCTATTATATTTACTCTTAAATTTTCAAAGATAGATATTTTTAAGTTCAGGGTAAAAAAAATTAGCAATTAGAACGATGTGAACCGGACAGAAGTCTAGTGATTCTCTCAATACAATCTAGAAAAGAGTACCACATTCAACTAATTAACCTTTAATTGTATCATTTATATGATCGCTATATCATGGAAAAAAATATAATAATTTCTAATGGTATAGAATGTATTAAGAATGTGTGTTTGAAAATTCAAAAAGGCTCACTGTTACTTAAACAGCGTACGATGGGAATATTTAGTATGATGCAATTTGTCGATGGGATAGTTTTCATTTTTTCGTTTTTAGTGGTGTCGAAGATCAATGAATCTTGTTTATTTATATTAAATTCATCCTTCGTTCATGTTCCCCTATTGTTATTCATTCTTTTCTTCGATATTTTTTACAAATGGTACAACTGATTATCATATGTAGACATAGGAGTCAGTGGCGCCGATAAATAATTTGTCAAACGAACAAAACAATGAAAAAATATTTAGAACTTTTTGTATTTTCAAATGTTTCACAAATTCATCTTCGAAAAACGTAAATAAATAATTCCCATGAAATAATTTGAAGCGACTAATGGTCGTTAAAATGCTTCAGATTATGTCATGTGTTGCGACTAGAATGTTATAGTATTTAATGAATTAATTTATAAAGTGTCATTGTTTAACACTGCCATATCTATAGTTCATTCATTATCACAATATAAAACTTCACATCAAAGAATCAATTTCTAAGACACATAGGCGTCTAACAGCAATAAAAACGTACTAATACAGATTATCGTGGAAGGTAGGGATGCAACGGTAACGGTTGACAACCGGCCAACCGTTACCGGTCTAACCGGTTTAACGGTTACCGGTTCTAACCGGTTACCGTTATCGGTCCAACCGGTTCTGACCGGTTACCGTTATCGGTCCAACCGGTTCTGACCGGTTACCGTTATCGGTCCAACCGGTTCTTACCGGTTACCGTTATCGGTCCAACCGGTTCTGACCGATAAAACAGTTTTGAAGTTACTTACGAGGGAACCTCCTGAGGTGCTAAAAACCTTTTTGAATGAGACTATTTTTAAAATGTAGGCCTTCATGAGCTATGAAGAACCACAATTTGGTTCGGACGCAATCAGCTTTGTTGCTGAGATATTGAATTTTTACTCTAAGTTTTCTCATGGGACCTGGATTATAAGCAAAAGAACTTTTTCAAAACTTGCTCCATGTTTTACCTTTGGTACCCATATGGAAAAGGTCTTTTCATCGCTGCAAAAAGAGGTTTTCATCTGGGCGTGTTTTCATCGAACTGAAATTGGTCTGGCCTACAATATGTGATAATGGCAAGAACTGACAAAAACTTCCAATGTTTTTTTTCTTTCTTTAATTAGCTGTATAGTTCACTAGTAAGTGTGTAAGATGTCGCGAGGCATTCTCAAACGACCAGTCTTACCTACCTGGAAAAAGCTGTGAAAAAATTTTCAAGAAATCAGTCGTACTTATATAGTGTGTGCATCAGCAAAATAAAGCGGTGGTTGGCTTTTAGAAAGAATTTCATAAGGAAGTGTTAAGAAAGTAATAGGAGTGTCTTATCAAAGTCCTAGCTCATTCTTATTTAAATATTACCTGATTCCTATCGGATTCGTATGAAATTCTTGCCATTTTCGTGCGGACTTCTTATGTAAGAATCTGATAAGACTCGGATAAGATTCTTACCAGAAATAGCGAAAAAGGTTTGTATGTAGAACATCATATTTTCTATATACAAACATCTGACTTTTGTTTTTCCTGTCTCTAACAATAAGTTGAATAACACCAACACACCACAAAGCACAACGACAGATAGTCAACGTCGTGTTTAAGCTCTCTGTACAACGACGGAGATTATTGGTCAGAATGAATAACGGAAAACGAACAATGAGACACAAAAACAAGAGACACTATAGACAACGTCAAGAATTAAGTTTCAAAAAAGAAGTAAAATCTTTTTAAGTGTACATCTCCGTATAAAAACTGTTTTTAGTTGTTAATGTTCGAAAGCGAGTCTAGAGTTTCTTTCTATGTAAGACTCAAATTGAAAGCATGTCATTCATGAATAGATCAACAACAATCTTTCGAACTTGACTTGACATGGAAGTACTATCGACAGTTTTATAACCTATAATGAAAACAGGTAACCAGAATATCAAGAAAGTGTTCAAAAAATCTTTAATATTAACAAAAAAAACTGTATAGGGCTTTAACAACATAAATATTCTCTCAAAAAGCTGAGAAAACGGACGTCGTTAATAGGACGATCTGCTTTAGTTATCGTATGAAAACCTTAAAGAACTTTTTGTGTTACGCGGAGCGCAAGACAGAACACAAAAAACAAAAAGGAGCCCTCACAATCCCTTCACACGTTGCTGTTCCGAGATGTGCTCGGTTTTACGAAGAGAGAAAGAACTAGGAAAGAATTAGGAGCTAGCAATAATGCACATGTCACAAATCTTTTCAAAGCAATTTTACGGGCAAAGAAAAAGGAGAACCTAACCCTTGTAATTAGTGTTCTGCTTCTCTACATTATTATGCGTCTTTTCAATGCACAAAAAAACTGATAATCGCTTCCTACGTCACCCGTGCAATCTCTTTCGACGTTGTTACAGCACACTAGAACTCGCTAAAACTTACATAAATGTTTTAACAATTGAATCAATAAATCTACATTTGCACCTTTTTCCTCAATCAAAATTTTTATTGTATCAAGAAATTCGGTTGAATTGTTAATCACTAACAGATTTGCACAGAATTGTATGGGAGGTTCTTCTGCTTCTCCACTAATTAATAAGCTTCACAATAAATCTTTCAGTTCAACAGTTTTCGATTTTAAAAGTTCATTGGTATATTTTAACAATTCACTGCGCTCTTCACTTGAGTTCGATGAGTTTTGTTTATCCATTAGAAAATTTGATGCTTGCTCCGCGCTGAACCAAATTGGATAAAAATTGGGCGCTAAATGCAAAATTTGTCGGTGAATCCGATAACGGGTTTCTTATAATTACATCTTCACTTCTTTTTTGGCGTCGACATAATCAACATGGTTTTTGCCTAAATTTTATTTTTCTCATTAGCGCCTTTTTTTCAACCAATGAGAAAAATAAAATTTAGGCAAAAACCATGTTGATTATGTCGACGCCAAAAAAGAAGTGAAGATGTAATTATAAGAAACCCGTTATCGGATTCACCGACAAATTTTGCATTTAGCGGCCAATTTTTATCCAATTTGATTCAGCGTGGAGCAAGCACCAAATTTTCTAATGCAATAGCCAGTGTTGTCGAACGAATATCATTACAATAATCAGCTGATGTCGGTTTCGGAAAACTTGCATTAGAATCGTTAACAGTGATTGTCAATTCATTCAGCATATTTGTTTATTCTTCTAGTGGTGGCGGAACTTTGAGAAGCAACATTTAACATTTAAACAATATAGACATGTATTCTTCTGTTTTTATTTGAATATTCATTAAGTCCTTCTTCAACTTTGTAATCTAAAGAGAGAAAGAATAACGCATATTAGAGCTCTAGCATTCCAGTAGAGATATACATAAGGTGTCGGAACAGCAAAACTATAGCAGTCTTTTTTTTGTCGATATTATTGCATAGAAAGATGCGCCTTATCATGCTGATTCTAGAACTATGTCGTGTGTGGAGAGCACTTCTTGTTTTAGGTCAGGCGAGCCAAAAACTGAAGAAAATGCTTTTTGAAGAAAGAGAGCTTTCAAGAGAAAAAAGCCTGCCGTTTCTAAACGGCAAGGAATGGAGGTCTAGATCAATTTTTTTCGGAATCTTCATCTAAAACTGAGTTAGGAAATGTATTCTTCAAAGCTTTATCTCGATTTTCATCCGGCCAAAGTCGAGGGTCTTTCAAACGAGAGAAAACTCGAAGCTTTTCACTAAAAAATGATCAACTCAACAAGGAAAGGAGATAGAGCCTCTATCTTTCCATGGTTAGCTTGCACCTGTACCCCTTTCAAAAGTTATGCATGGGTTTCCTCTACTTTCTTTCCTTTCCGGAGTTATTGAGCTTTTGCCGTCCGTAGGGAAAACGGCAAGTTAATCTTTGTCGTTGGAGAGAAGTTTCCGTTCTAAATTTCTCAAAGGCAGATCCTAGAGTTAAAAAGCATCAGGAATTCAATGGAGATGGTTTCGAGAAGTTCCGAAAGGTTTCTCAGGAAGTGGCTACCGCTATCCTCTCGAATTTTCTCGATTGACTAACGATGTCGCTTTTCTTCAGAACTGCACTGAGAAGAGATGCTGATACGGAATTCCTATTGGTTTATCAATCAGCGCATTGTATCATTAGCGGGAAAAAGTGAAATGGACAGCGAAAGAGAGGGTTGTTTCCCGCTAGCCGTGAAAAATAGCCGCCAATTGACGGCTAGCAGGAATTTTGAAAAAGGCTAGGCGTCAGATCCAAAACTATGTAAAAATGACAAAATGCCTGCTGAAATAAAGAGATTTTCGAAATAAAAGAGTAATCAGGCTGTTTTAAGCCATAAAACTGTGGGAATTAAAAGAATTAGACTGATTTTGACCTAAAAACGAGACTGTGACAGATATATTTATCAACCTTGATGATTGGTGCTTCCATATTATATCTAATATTCTATGGTTCATAACCATTTATTTTTTTTGGACCGCAAGAAAGGAAGAGAAATTTTTTTTCTTTATAGTAAGAATCTGTTCTTATAGAACAGAAACAGTATATCCCCTTCTATTGACCACGCAATATCTGAACAGATATATATGCTATCATATAAAACAGAAATTCTTAACAGAAAGGAAAAAACGAGTGTCGATATATTCACGCATCGGCGTCGATATATCGGCGCATCTTTCTATGCAATAACCCACGAGATTTCGAGTATCAAAACTTCATTTTCATGCAAAATAAATGTGAAATGGTTATTGCAATAAAAGATGCCAGTTCCATCCAATTAGCTTTTTAGAAGTCCTTTCGCGTTTTTCGTCCAAAAGGACGTTTTGCAGCAATGGGGTCTGGCATGAAGCGTTCTTGTCGCAAATGCTTACCTTCCCTCCTTCCAACCACTCGTTCGACGGGCCTTTGCTTGCTGTCCATTTCGCAATTTCACAATCGACATCAGCAAGATCATCAAGAAAAGTTGATCATCATCACTCATGGATGTCAGCATATTTTCTAGAATCAAACTAGACCAAAATGATCGTCAACTCGAGCTCTACAAATTCTGAAAGTTCCACTTTGATAGCAGATACTTTTGTACGACATGGCAGCAATCCGCTGGAAACACCCAGGTATCAACGTATTTCAAAGTAGTACAGCTGTCTTCATTTTCGATTCTTGGTTAAAGAACATCCTAGACGAGTAAAGTAATTAAAAAAACGCACTTTTAGGAGGAAAAATCGGACCTTTTTTTACAGATTCAAAAATGTGTTCTGTTTGGAAAAGAGTTAGTTCGAAGATGATAACAATCATAAACTTGGGTTTTTCTCAAGAAAAACTGGATTTTTTCAGCGCAAAAGGTGCACATTTTAATTTAGTAAATGAGCCTTTCTTTGTGCAGGATATTTTATCTTTAGATAAAATTGTTAAAAATTTTGGAGTTTTTCGGAGGTGAAATCGAAGTCGGATTTCGGAGTCAAACAAGTTGAGTCCGCAGGTCTCTAACTGCTGAAAAGCAAGAGTTGGGACTAGCAGAGTGATTTGTATTACAGAAATATTAGTTGATCTGTTTCTCGATTGACATTTTTATTTCTTCATTTTTGTTCATTTTTCACATGGCAAAAGCCGTAAATAAAACAATAAAGATAAGCAGGAACGACGCATACATGAATATATATATTCAGAAACGCCGTACCTAGCATGTTTGAGAGCTGAAATTGCCATCACGGTCATAAGAAACAGCAGCACGATCAAGATCAGGAATAGTATGAATACCAAAATGATCACGCATACCAATGAACTCAGCAGGAGTAGTAGCATTACGACGACCACGACGAGCATTATGATCAGCATTACCAAGATCAGCAATTTTACGATCGACATCAGCAAGATCATCAAGATCGGCAGCTGATGTGTGGGAAATTTGATGTTTGTCATTTCTAAAAGGAGACAGATAGATGTATTTGCGTTTTGTAGGAGCGATGGGATTTTCATGGTGGGCTTTTTGAAGAGGAAAAATGTGTTGTTATTTTCTGCTCTTCGGTTTGGTCGAAGATATGGAAAGTATCGGTTAGTTAGTGTTTATATGTGCTCGTAGACGAATCCTTCAGAAATGGATTGGAAACATGGATCATCTCTGCGATCATCTGCAATGAGCTGTGTTCTTATATATGGGCACTTCCATGGTGGCGGGTACGGGTGATGCTGTTCTGCTCAATCGCATCCTCATCCACACGCGCTCCCTCACCATCCACCCTTACCCTCTCTCATCCTCACCATCAATACAAAGCTTTAGTTGGCACAAACTGAGACAACAAAAAAATGAAATTGTATGTCCAAACAGCGCTGCAAAGAAATGATCATTTTCCATGGTGTCTGAGTACAATAGGTTCTTGTCAGTAGTTTGTTGAACGATTGCTTCGTTTCGCGAAGGTAATTTTCTCGTTGATTCAAAGTTTAAGCCTTGTCTAGCTTCTAATATAAATAGTGAAACCCAGCCATACTGGCCACCGAAAAGACGTTTTGGAGCAATGGGGTCTAGCATGAAGCGTTCTTGTCGCAAATGCTTAACTTCCCTCCTACCAGCCACTCGTTTGACGGGTCTTTGTTTGCTGTCGTCATAGCTACAGATTTGAATACCGTGTTTTCAAATCAATGTAATAGCCATCCAACTCGGCATGCTGTCTCTTAGTCGAGAATGCTTCTTCTATAATGAGATTTTCTATGTCGGAATAATGACTCCATTCGGCTGGCTGAGACTTCGACCACGAATCTGGGTTCGACTGCCACATCCATTCTATGTGTGTTGAAGACCCATTAGGTATAGCCACTGCTGCGTCCATGATCGCCTCTTGCCTAGCTTGAGAAAACATTGCTATGGTTTCAGGGGATTTGTAGAAAACCCGTTCTCCAGAGAGACGGTAGGAAAGGTCTATAGGGACAAACGGCTATCATATTCGTAATCAGCATCCTTGATTACATATAAATGGCCAGGTTTGAAAATCCGGATTACTCACTTGGGGCGGTTATATGTCACTACAATTCTATTTTATTTTAATATATTTGCACTCTCTATCGTAGCATATATATGCTTACGATAGAGATCATTATTTAAAAATGCATATGCTTGTGTTGTTAAAAAGGTGGCATTTCCTGTATCCATTGTGTTCATCGAATTATAATATTCGTGAATATCGGTTATTCCTAATTCACTTAATGTTATTGAAAAATCGATTTCTTCTATGCCGTCCAACGGCACTTTCTATAAATAAGCTTCAAAATAAGTCTGATTATTCGCCAAAAAATTTTCTTTTATTTCTAACAGCATAAACTTGAAAACATAAACTTAAAAAAGTGTATGAAAGTTGACTGAACGTAATCGTAAATTTTAATCGGTTTTCTCTGAATGCAGACTTCCACATACCTTTAATTTATCAGGATTTATTTTGATATTAGGAGGAAGAATTTGAGCGAAAAGGTGCTGATGTTGGCCCAATAACAAAGTTCGATGGCGTGTAGAATCGTACCATGCTCGTATGAAAAAATGGCTTTTATTAGGTGGTCGAGTTGAAAACGCTTTCATTCCAAAACTTGCTGATTGCGTACGTATCGTTTCGGCTGCACTTAAGTGCTACCGAGGTCCGATCAGTCAAAATACTATTAATAGCGACCATAGCACTCTTGTACAATACATGCGTCAACAAATCGGTCGTAATAATATATTACAAGCCCGCCTTGATAACGGTTCATTATCGTCTCGCTCTCGATGGGAAAAAATCGAAGACATCAGCTTCGACTTTCCACAGATATCTCTGGAAGAAATACGTCAATTGTTCTTTGGAACATATCCGATAAAAATGGGACGTTCATATGTTAAAGAACATATGAATAGCGATGGAGATTATTGAGGTGGATAATTCCAACGATAATATCGTACGCGCGAGCATACATAGTCGACACTCAAACGCTTCAGTATACAAAGTTTGGATTCAGTTTTCGCTTACCAGTGATCCGATTGAAGCATGGTACTGCCAATGCACCGCTGGAGAGCGCAACCTGGGGTCGTAGCGAGCATTATTTGGTACCTCGCCTATGCTCGACATAACAACTTCACACCATCTGCAGGCCGTCAAAGGTTACTAGAAGCTTTAGCAAGACAAGAAGAACAGGTCGAAATAGATACCGATACTGAGTCCAGCTCAGAAGATAAATGAACCATTTACAACAGTGCAGCACTTATTTACATATCTCTACTATAAAAGTTACAGCACACCGGTGCTGTTTACGTTGGTATCTGTTGAATAAAACATCTCTATGATATCAGTCCTCATTCAGACTAAACTCAAGTATAGAAAATAACCAGTGAAGTCAAGGCAAAGTATCATAAAATACTAGATTTATCTTTTTTGAGAATTTCTATATCTAGATGTTACATAGTTACAATGATAAGTTACATTGATATTTAGTAAAGATCAGTTGAGGACGTCTGTTGAACTACTCCATAGAACTCTATTTAACTTAGTTTCACTTCCTAAATGAAAAGCTGAAGTCAATTTTGATATATAAACCGGAGTAACTTAAATAAAATCTAACATATGTCCAAAAAAGGTATCGATAAACAAGTAAGATAATGACATGTTCAAAAGTAATTATCGAATATTCTATATTGGGGCTGTTTTTATTTTTCTCAAACTTAGACTATTTTGTAGAACAAATCACGAGAAAATTTCCTGTTATAGTCGTCATCTTGTCCAAGTTGTTGTTAGTGCGAAAATCAACTTGAAATTTATGAAAAATAACCATATAATACTATGTTTTCTATATTTTCTTATATTTGTGAATCTGGTAGCCCTTAATGACAACAATTTAAGAATGATATATTTATACCATTTTGTAGAGCACGAAAAACTGCGTCGATCTACACTATTAGTTTTCATATTAGGTTTACACAAGAAAAAATGATGGGAACCATAGTTATTATCTAGAATACCAAAAAGTGATATACCCCCAAGACTATTTGATCTTCGAAAATTCTTTTTTACATTCGACGAAAATCAAAATAAATACCCAGAAATGTGCAGAATTTCGTGCTGTATCTTTCTGGTCTATTGAAAGTGAGTAGGGGGGTGGTAAATTTACGGTCTTATCCAGTGGGGTCCTTTAGTTGAAAAACAGCATTAACAAGTGGAAAATATTTAAAATCATCCATGAGACCTGTTGACTGCTGGATGAGAAAACTGCCACAAGTGGATGATGAGAAACAAGTTCAGGAATTTGAGAAAATATTAGTGACTGATTTTGGTATCACATTAGAAAAATATGTAAAGGAATGTGAAGAAAATAATTGTTACCCAACTAACTTATCATTAACTAATATGGGTATACAAGAAATTTTGAAACAAGAACGACATCTATCATTGTTAAAGGAAAAATTAAGTAGAATGAAGCAAGAAGAAAGTATGTTTTCTGCATTTTTTTGAACACGAGTCGAATCAGCCGACATTTAAGTTAATCGATGAAAAGTTGTAGTGACTTCGATTAAAAACCAGTAGTACTGAGGTAACCGACTTATTGATTATCTTTAAAGGAAAACCTTCTGACTTTTTTGCTGACTTCACAAAAGTAAGATCCCCTCATGAATCATAGCTAATGACGGCAATCATCAGCAAATGACTTGATCTGTTGGCTGTTGATACATACAGCTATTTAACGACTTTGACTCGGTGGTAGCTTTGAAGTTTGAGACCCTTTAAAGAGAAATGGTAACTCAGGTTAAGAGATTCTTATGACATATAAAATTCAGCAAAAGGGTAAAACGTCTCCCGAAAGATTCCACCCTGTTCCTGGCAACCACCTTGTTTTACGACCCTTCCAGTAACTTAGCGTGAAAGTGAAAAATATATGACAAATGTCTCCAAATGTGTGAAAAATATGGATTCTGTACGTTACTAGTTATAATCAGCCTTGAGCTGGAGATAAACCGACTTTGCCTTTTTGGAACAGCGACTCAACGTTAACAGGTCGAAAATGAGTGTGATTTGTAGGTCCGAATACAAAGTCATCTTAATAAAAGAATGTCTTTGCTTGTGGTTTCAGGTGGTGCTGCTTTGTCATTACAACTCGCTTCTTATAATGCAATAACACAAAATGCATATAATAATCTCAATGCACCTATGTTAACAACCGATGAACCGTTGAATGATAATGAAAATACTATAGATATAACGTATTATCAAAAAAGAGGTTCGTTCAAACACTTAGCTCCTACTTTGAAACAAGACGATTTCCATACAACTTTTCTTGTTCCTCTCTTTTGTCATTAGAGCTACAAAATGCTGAAGAAAGAAATATATTAGATGATACAGTAAATGCTGCTGAAAATTTATTGTATGATATTGTTCGAAGAGTTCAACATGCAGGTGAAACAGGTTCTATGATTGAATACCAAGTCTTAATAAAAGCATCCCGTACAGAAGTTCGACTTCGAAAGGGTTAGCCAACTTTTAATTCTTTCTTGGTAGCGAAATATCAATCGACTAATCTTTCGCCAAGATAGCCTAGTAACGAACAAACTTATACTTCTTCTAGCCAAGTTTCGATTGTTTGCGAGGCACAGAAAGTTTTCTTAGTTTTTTCGAATAAAGCAGTGTTCTATATACACTTGCATGTCATATCATTTTCTCTATTTCTATGTAGTTTTTTTTCTTTATTGTTTAGTTACTCCAACAGTATTAACACAAAATGCAATAAATCTGTCACATCCTCGTTACAGACAAACTGACGGTAAATTACGAGCAAACTGCAGCAGTGTCAAGTACTACAATTCTATGGAAAGTCCTAGAACTGGCAGAATTCGCCATATTCAAATATAAACTGTTAATAAGATTCTGATCAGAATCTGATTGAATTCTGGTGGAATTCCAATTCTAGTTCTACCAGAATCTAACCAGAATTGGACTAGAATCTGGCAGAATTACACCAGAATCTGTCAATACGTAGAGAGAATGTGATAGTGTGGATTGAGGGGAGGGGTGCAACGGCCGCTTGCCGTTACATATTTTATTTTCTGTCGCTTGAAAAGTTTCAGAAACGTCTTCTATGCGCTCTTTATACAGAGAGAATGAAATCAGTTAATAATTGATTTTTATTATTATTTTGTTTCATAGTGACGCGAAATGTGGAGACACATTATCTTCGTATCGAGATTTCATTAAAAATATCAGTTTTTCTTCTTCTTCAAAAACTCTAAACTAAAATTCTAAACTTCTTCTGTTTCCTCTTCTCCTTCTCTCATCTTAAGAGAAGAGAAATCATTACTATCATCTCCAATCGTCTTCTTCTTCTTTTATCATACAAAGGAAGAAGAAATACTACTATAATTTATAATTAAATCTCACATTTAGTTTATATTTAGTATTCTTTTAAAATTATAAAATATAATTTAGTGTTTTCATTTGCATTACTATAATTTCATTCTGCGCTCCTTCTCCTCATCAAATTTCGTCAATTGAAGAGAAGCCAATTATCAATTATTATCATGAACAACCATTAGATATTATTATTAACTGTTACTATTCCATCATTGTACATTAGTTTTTCTGTAAAATATTTTATCATAATAATAATTTGTTGTTGGTGTGTAAGACCGAACTGGAGATTGTTTTTGTTATAGCAAGTTATAGAGGGCTAACGTGCTACTACAAGGGGGGCATGGGAGTGAGTAGCGATGCTTTGAATTCTGCTGAGTTCTGGAATTTCCACAGAACTGTAGAAGTCGACACCACTCACAAACTGACAGCGTAACTAGAAAATATTTTAGGATCAGCTTAGCCCACTTAGCACTGTTTAAGTCAGTAGACCAAATAACTGTTTATTTTTTTGAAGAAAAAATATGTTCAGACAGATATCAAATCAAAATGCTATAGAGAAATTTATTGACGTAATTTTCCGAAGAATGGCACCCTAACTCTTTTTCACTTTTTATTTCTAGCTCATGAATAAACGAGAGAAGATATTGGATCAACAAACACAAAACCCGTCAACAGACGTTTATATACACATTTTCGTGATGATGACATACTTAACGAATTAATTGGTACACCTATTAAAAAAACACGTTTTCTTGGGTCTGATGGCATTTTAAGACCTACAGCAACAACGTCTATAATAAGTGCTGGTTTAGAAAGTGATACACTCATCGACGGATTTAATGTTGAAGATTCAAGTGAAACAGGTTCATTCAAGAGAAAAACTTTGATTGCTCAACAAGAGTATCGCTTATTGTTGTTTATTTTAGCTTTAACATCGCGCTCAAAACAGCTGAGAAACGTAAAAAAGAGAGCTGTCCAATTATCGTTATCTAGATAATGCCTATATAACGACGTGTGTTAAGAAAATAAGAATTTAAGAAAACCGGGGAAATAAGAGCTGTCTCGTGAGTTTCACGCTCTCATAATGCTACCACCCACCCCCTCCATTGTTATTTTCTGTGTTTTTGGTGCCATAGATGTAAAGAACACGCATCGTTATACAGGCATTATCTAGCTAATGATACTTGGACATCTATGGTAACAAATGTATTATCATCAACAACGGAAAACACAATTAATAATGTCGGTGACACATCAGATTACCACATTGTAGGTTCCGTTAAATCTTTTTCTTTACTTTTTATTTTAAGTGAAGCTGTTCATTCACCACTGCATAGTAAATCAAGTACCATACCATCAACTGAAACAAGTTCAACAGTAACGTCACAATATCATCCAACAACAACAATAAATATTGTTGAGAAACACTCAATATCTGAGAATATGAAAATATTATGTAAAAAAATTTTAGTAACGTCATCACCCGTACTGTCTGCAACCAAATTAAATCGATCAATTACAAATAGTAGTATGATTGATGTACATAAAGGGTGTAAATTACTGATTCGATAGCTAGTCACTAATGTTGACCTTTTTTGCTCTCTTCCTTTTCTACGTTACTGTCTATATCGTCCTATTGGTTGAAAAAGTTCTCTCCAAAAGAGAATTCTATGCTTAATTTATTTAACTGCATTTTAAGATCTGATATTAATACTATAAAGTCGCCTCAATATATTAGGCTCAGAATAATAATCTTAAGGTAAACGAAACGCCCGTTTTCGAGATTGTCGATGGGCAGAGATGGCAACCATGGCAACAGACATAATGAATGGTGCTGATGCTATAATAAACAAAAGAAAACGCTTCTTCTAACAAACGCCAAGCAAATTCTTCTAAGACTCATCTGAATAAACAAGCCGGATCGATTTCTAACCTACTTACTTCATTTTCTTGCATTTTTCAGTTTATTTGTAATTCCTGCAGCGAATACGGTTTTGAACGTATGCGTCGAAGTGTATTTAAAAATTGTCTTGATCGTATTTTACTTTCGGATTTTGAGATTATATGCTAATTATTTTACGGATTCTTTGTGGCCAATTCTCTTAGCGTCTCGTGAGTTAATTAATTAAGACAGTAAAATGTCGCAACATGAATAGTTCGATAGCCGCTCCTAGATATTCATCATTTGTTTATTATAATCAATCATAAGAATGTTACAGAAAAATGATGAACTAACCAATTACGGTCTTTACTATTGTGACAGTATGACCTGGTGACACAAAAATGATAAAAAAATAATAAATTTGAGGAGATGTATTTCTCTAAATTACCATGGAATAAGGTTTTGTACGCTACAAAATTAACTGAATAGTTTAGCCAAAAACGTAAAAAAACTACAGAAACGGACTACTAGAACACCAACAGGACTACCACTCATCCGATGACAACAAGAATGAATGGATATCGTTTTCAAGAGTTGGATCGTCATATTCTATCGATAACTGGGTCGGAAAATCATATTCCACTGAGAATGGTTGTGGTAGAGGATCACCATAAACATCATCGTTGAAGTATTCGATCGAAGAATCACTCTAAATGAGACGAAAATCAATATTAAAATCGACATTAGTAACCAAGCCTCATCTGAGAAGGGGAAAAAAATGTATGTAATTATGTTTATTTATTGTTTTGTACACTACCATGGTAAAGAAGAAAAAAACATGTTTTTTCAAAAGCTATTTTCAGTCTGCCGAAAAAGGAAAGAAATTTCGAAGGAGAAAAAACTTTAAAAAAAAATCAGTTTTGCAGGAAAATTTATCCAACAACTAAAGAGGGCTAGAACAGCGAAGCGAAGTTTTCCAATAGTTATCAGAAGAAGATCATTATTAGCATTGAGTACGCACTTCATCTTTATCTTTATCTTCATCATCGTCAGTCTCTCTGTCATCGAATTCAGAATCATCAGAAGAGTCTTTATCATATGCACAGATCTAAATAAAAAGAGAAATGTGTACATGGTGACAAACAATCACCTGCAACGTCATGAAAAAAGCTCACGACAGAACTCTCTCTGATTATTTGAGCATCCGGTGCGGCATTTGTGTTCTACAAAAGAAGATCGTGAACATATAATGAGAGCAACAAAAATAGAGTGTACATTGCTTTCGTCATCACTTGAATCGCTGACAACAAGTTGCAGCCCAGTATGTTTCATTACTTTCTAAAAAGAACTATAACAGGCATACGTAATGATAATTAAGTTCTCTACAGTTACTTATTGTTTCATTACCTTTCTGGCAGATTGTTGAGGTAGAAAATACGGTTGAGTGTTAAGTTGTCGGTTTTCACAGCTTTTACACTTGCACAAAATTGTACACTTGAGTTGATATTTAAAACATTTACATCTTTTCGTGGAACAATAGGTTTGGCAATTGCATGTTATAAGGAGAGTCGTATCAGGCATTGATGGTGTTGATTTCCATTCAATGGCGATATCACCATCAACTAAACAATATCCATTACCATTTAGAGGAGGATAACTGATATCATTGAGTAATGACTGAAACCAAATATTGCACTGTAATGATACTCGCTTACAATGATATTGAAATGCATTTGTTGTTGGTAACAATGTATCCAAGAACGATTTCGACGAAGTAGATCTTAAATGTGATATGGCTTGAATAGTACGGAGTTCATCCAAATCTAGAAAAAAATGAGATGTGTATTCATGAAGAGCGTTATTTTAAGAGAATGCCTCGTCAGAAAAGCGAACCATAATATATGATAGATCTAACCGATTGAAAGTATATTTGACGAAGAACGTACTTGGTGACGCTAAACTTGTACATTCGATTAGCAGTTGTTCCGCACTTAGCATACAAGCAGCGGTGGTTGGCAGTTTATCCATATTGATCAATTCAGAATAAACTGAAGGCTGTTTAAAGAAGGTTTTAAATATTTTTTGTTTACTAATGTTTCGAATAAAGGATGTAGTGTCACACCCACTAAGTGCATGTAATACCATCCACATCTTAGGATTAAACTTGTAATAATCGATACATCGATGAGCAATTAACGAACAGTCAATAAATTTGAATAATTTCTTTCTAGACATTGAGGAATAAAAGTACACTTTCAATCTGTATTCAACCGCAAATCCAATAGCTAATACAAGGACATCTGTGTCGGTAGCTTGGATGGTCGCTTGTGCGATGTGTTGAAATGATTGAATGTGCTGAATATGGAGAAAAATTCTAGTGTCTGCTTCAATTTGATTTGATTGCAATTCCGGTATTAAAATAAAACCACTACTGCTTATCATGAATGCCTTTTCATCTGGTCCAGCTACATATAAAACTTTATCAGCAGGTATTTTAAGACACAATTTTAACCATGCATCACGCACTGCCTTTGCCACTACTGCGCAATTGTCGCGTAATAGTTTATTGTAATCTTCACCAACACACAAAATAGATTCTTCGTTCATAATATATTGTGCCGACGTCAATGTATTACCATGACGCTTTATAAATTGTTTCAATCGTTTACTATCCGACGAGTCGAAAATAACATCGAT